TTGCATATGGGCACACACACACACACACACACACACACACACACACACAGTCCCTGTAGAGACCAGAGACCACATTACAGCTTATTCTTAAAACATCACACTCAAGCCTTACAAAAAGCACAGTAGGGGTACCATGGTACGTAATGGTATTAGATGGCTATATTATGGTACCGTATGATTAACCTACTTATATTCCACAGAATCTACAAGGTAATGAAAGGTATTTTAAACAACACCCTGGTAATGCACAAATGAAAGTGTCTGTAAAAACCCATAGTATTACCATTTTCGTAAGTGAAGCAAATGTTGATATATAACTGCATATACGCAAAGCTAAACACACAAATTTCCGAACACCTGAACACACACACATAAAGCTGTCGTGAGGCCTGTGTGTCCCTCTGGTAGTTTATAGTCGCTGCCCTACATGGCCACAGCTTCTGGAATAGCAACTGCCATCTGATCTGACCACACAATCTCTCGCCCGCTTGTTCACTCGCTCTCTGAAACACTTTCTCTCTGTGAGAATAATGCAAAAATAAGAAATGACACTAATACACAATAGCACCTGAAACTCGTCAAAAATGAGTCTAAATCTGTCTTTTTCAACAAATGATTAAAAGAAGTGCTTAGCCTTTGAAATATGCAAATTAAGATCAAAGTTAAAAAAAACGATAAATGTGATTGATATTTTCTAGCCACACACAGATGAGACTTTTATAGACATTTTAAAAGATTATACAAGGTAAATGTAAAGCAAATTGATTGAAACTTTTTGAAACACAATTTAAGAAACAATGAAAATGATTTTTAAAAAAAACAGCATACACAAAGTAATTGTATTAGTAAAATGATCCCTTTTATATGTTTTATATGTTTGACTCTTCACATACTGTAAATAAATCCAGTTATACGAGAGGTCGTTACATACCACAGCACAAAACACATCCCACTTCACAAAATCTCACAATACTGAGAATCTAAAATATTATCTTAAATATAGGGGTCATTTTCAGAAAATGCATAAAATATTTTAGGAAAATGATATTTAAGTATTCATAGGACTCAGGAGATATGCATATATAAGAAGTTATAAATAAATAAAAGATTATTGAAAAACAAAACACTATTTAAGTCTTTCTACGTCAAAATTTCATGTTTAATTCAATGCATTACTTGCCATTTCTTTTATTTAAAGAAATTACAATTATTTCTGTAATTTACTAGCGCAATTTCTGAATGAAAATTGTTTTCACACTAAATTTGTTTTAGCGCAGGCAGTGAAAGCTTGATATTTTCATGTCAACCTACATCCAATTTAGGCAAAAGCCATTAAAAACAATTCAAATGATAGAAAATCCATTAAAATGTAGTAGTGACGAATGGTGATATGCAAATTGGCTCATATTTCCCTGAAAACACATTTAAAAATAAAATAGTTTTGCTAAATGTCCTGTAAATCATACAGCGAGTCATGAAGAAAAAGACTAATTGTGCAAAGTCGAGTCAAACAGATTTCTACGCAAATGTCGACAATCTAAATCTGATCTAAACGCAAAGTGTGCCAATGAATTTTGGCATTGAGAACGACTGCCATGTCCTCTTGATATCTAAGCCTTGACCAATAGATCAGTTCACACTCAGAAGCAACGGAAACATTGTAACTCAACTCAGCGACAGAAGTAGAAGCGGCCCTCACAAAAAATGACTGGCAGAAAGAAGCAACTTCACACCACAGAGAACAGACGTCAACTTAATTTGATCAGCGATGACTTTTCCCACATGAATAACCGTTTGTTAGCAAATAAGGATCTTGAGCAGACTTGCGTAAAGGGTATTTATATCTCCCTGTTTTATAGTGTGACTAGAATCTCGTCTCGCTGTGTTGTATGTGTGGGTATTGTTTACATCTTGATGCAAGTAAAAAATCATTTCAAGGTCACGGTAATGTGTGTATATATAGAAACTTCTGCCCTCCAAACAGCAGCAAAATATTTTTCTTAGAGTCTTAAAATTGACATACGTTTACACTTTTTTAATGATATTAATCAATCACTTCATATATTTGCTCTGAAATTTGTTACAATGTTTCTTTTCAGTCAGTGGAACTGTAATTTGTATTTTCCACTAAATGAAAACAAGAATATACAATGACATTTTTTTATGTACCGATATCAATAACAATAAAAGGTCATTATCAACATTAATGCCATTTTTGTTGCACGGAAGTGTCTTAAAATGTAAGATGCCATGTGAGGACTTCGAGTAAATAAATCTATAGTAGCTAATCATCCCATATAAACTCATATCGTTCAGAGACTTAACTGGACAAATGAAACTCAAGCCATGACACTCAAAATGTTGCTATATTTCCAACAAAACAATCGCAAATATAAATTTTTACTATTGTCCTGTCCTATAGGCAAAAAAACAAAAACCAATGCAAATTCACAAGTTGCCACAACATCAATCTTTCAAGAAATTCCTAGGTAAATATAGCAAGGATGGGTATAAAACTTAACATCGAAGTTGATGGTTTAGCTACATTAGCAATAGCTTAGCTGCAGCAACAACAACAAACTGATGTCTTAAAACGCAGAAGATCGCATTGAAATGTTTCACTATTTGTAATAAAATTTATATTTTTTGATTTGGGAGATTTCCAATATCTCTATACTCCTCTAGGTGGCAGCACTAAGACTCTTTCCACTGATTTATTCGTTCTGTCATAGATACTAAAGCAGCCATTAGGCTAGCGGGCAGCATGATATCAGCTATTTTAAGCCAGATTGTGAGAGAATTTAAACTCAGAATTTACTAGTCAACAGCACAGCGATGCTCAGAAACGATTTATCTATTTTCTGCTGCCTTTTGACAGATATCAGATGAAACAGGATGTTGACAATCACTTTATTACTGGTACTTCTGTATAAGAGCACAGTGGAGCTAGAACAGGTGCAGAACCTCCACCCCCAAGCAAAAATGAAAAGGAGAAAAAAAAAAACAGGATTTCATTAAAGCAGTTTGAGTAGTTTTAGTTTCGTTATTTTTTGACCATATTGTAATAAATATGGTAGTGACTATAGAATTTTAGCTAAAGGTTACCACAGTAAATGTATGTAATGGGTAAAATTAAAAAACATTTAACATGGTAGCCATCATTTACTCCAAAACTACAACATGTATAACTACTATTTGCATACAGTGATACAAACTGTATTTAAAAAAACTAAGAATTTTAATTTTTAGTTATCGAAATAACTAGCAACCATTGAATTTTGGTGGAATCTTGCCAAGTAATATAACACAAATACAAAAAAAATTAAATAAATCTTGCCCCCTCAAAGTGACTTGATTGTGTGGCAGTGATGTTCAGCATAGACATATGAACATACCTTTCTCTGCTGTTTCTCCCAGGCAGGGTCCAGCAGAAGGTCCCTGTCCCAGTCGTCCTCCTGAGTCATGTAGTCTTCCGTAGACATCATGTAGGTGTTATACTGCACCTGCGTCTCAATAACAGTCGTCATCTTTTACACTTTTCCCGCTAACTCTTAATATTAGAAGTTACGTGCCTTGCACTCTAGATCGTGAACTCTAAATCCTGTCCGTGCGTTAGAGGAGAACACCCGCTCAGTGCGTACGTGTATGACCGTGGAGGAAGAGGCCAGACTCCACTCGTCCGAGGTGCCTTTGTGGAGGTGCGAGCAGAACTTCTGCTGCCCAGTGCTCCTGTCCTGGTCAAAAGTAGCACACGTGACTGCACCCCAATAAATAAGAGATCTGGTTGTGTGGGTGTTGGGTTATGCTACCTAAAAGGTGTGAGAGGCGGGTCACACTGTGCACTGGGGCCAATAACTGGTAGCTCTTTTAGAGTAGGACAGGGAATTATCTCATACACGCCTCCTGGTGCCCTCCACTTTGCTAACACCTGTTGTCCTTGGCAGTAGTCTATATCTACTTACCCAAGCAGCAGTTCTGGGGCCAGTTGAAACGACAACCAGCTGACTGCTATGGATTGAAAATAGGTGCACAAGCAGATCCCAGGCCTGTTAAAATCCCTGACTGTCTCTCTCCCTCTTAATAATAATGCCTGTAACATCTCTATACATGCAATGCTTACTACACACAATAGTGCTTCTTTTATATTTAAAACAAATAGAGACAAGTCTGTTACAAGAAAGATAGAAGACCCATTTCAAGAAAAAAAAAGTCTTATGGAAAAATGTAAAATATTATTTAAGAATACAACATTAAGAGATTGAGTGTATGCAATAATTTACTTATTAAAAAAAAGAAAATCATTCTTACTTTAAATTGATGACAAGTAAATGAGCACAACATAGCGTATTCTGTCATAGTTCTAGTTTATTGCAGTAAGCATGCGATGCCAAACAGTGTTCATGCAGAAGCTGGTGTAGGAGAGTACACTTTACCAGTCGCAAGGTTTTTGCAATATACACACATTAACAAAGCATGCATATATTCATTAGAAGGTGATAAAAACATTACGACCAGCTCACATCCTATCCTGCAAATTATTCTCGTTTCATACATGAATTATAAAAAATTATGCACTTTGACTTTCAAAAGTACTGGAGTAGGCTTTTCACTCAGTAGGGGATATCCTTATAAAGAATCAGAGAGAAAAAAAAAGGAAAATTAAAAACAATAAAATACTGAAGTTTTCTAAATATAATAGGATTCAAACAAGAGAGGTTGTGTTATTGTTATTGTCCAGTTTAAACAAGAAGGTCGACGATATCTAGAGAGGAAGTGGACAGAAAGAGCGTATCATCTAGATTCAAAGAGACTTAAGCTGGAAGAGCAAGTTTGAGAAGGAGGTAAGTGATTTGTTTACGAACCAAGAACCATGTTTAAGAACCAAAATTCTGAATAGAAGGCTCTTCTCAAAAACCAGTGATAATTATCTGCCGCAGACACCTGTCATCATTAACGGATGCTACGGACATCATGGAAATATCTGCAAGCCAAAGATCTTAATACCGCTAACATTGGGAGTACCAGCTACTACTCTGTCTCTGGCATAAGTGACATCTTATTTCAGGTAACGGACAGTTCCTTTTCCTCCAGAATAAGATCTAAAACTGAGGTCATCTTGTCCTTTTCCCCTCATTCCTACAGGCAAAGTTAAACAGACACTATAGACAAGAAGCAATGCAGATGTGTGTGACAATGTATGGGAAGATGCTACATCATCATCATCAGAAAAAATCAAGAACAGCACCTTCTAGTGAAATAAGCCACACTTCACTACCATGCTCCCTCTGGAGGAAAGGTCCTGTAAGTATCCCTCCGGCAGCTCAGGTTCAGCAGTCTTTTTTTTCCCCAGCTGAAGCTGCTTGTTTTCTAGGACATTCCTCTACCGGCTATGTATTTTAACCAGGTAGGTGATCTAAATCTGTGCCACCTACTTATACATTCAGCTATTTCAAACACAAACATTATAACAAACTCTCATTTGAACAGGTAACACAAGGTAGCTTTCAGATTAACTCCTAAAATAGAATGTCTTTTCATCTGACAAACAAAAACCAAATTTGGTAACTGTTTGGTATGACTATAACTAAGCTTCTGCTCAAGAATTGTTGTCAATTTAGGAAACAAAAGCATACGTTTATGATAAGAATGCCTTGTTGGTTTACGGTGGAGCAGCGCATCACAGTCAAGCACTGCTTGATAATGGTTTCCAGTGTCACTGAGCCCAAATGAGAGTCTTGCGAATAAAATTTTGGCCAGTGTCTCAGGTCCAGTCACAGAGCTTTTGCGGATGCGTTCAAGCAGTGGTTAACACTGAACAAACGTAACAACTAGCACTGTGGATACGACGAGGGCGGCGGTGAGCTGGGCGTTAACGGCGAGTAGACTCGAGGAAGCCTGGGGGCAAGGGTTAAATCAAATAAACAAACAAAAAAAAGGCACATGGAGAGGGGGGGCCAGGTGAGGTCGACGATACTGACGCACAATCACTCACCTTTGTCACACACCTTTATCAGCCACCCTTGCAAACTTGTTTTGACACTCATTTTACGCAGTCTTTCAATCATTGACCAGCAATCCCACTCATTTAATTGCTTACGGACACATTATCACCACACTCTCTCCGAAGCTAAACCAACACATCAGTTATAGGAGCACCAAGCACCCACCCATTACCGAGACACACTAACCACAGAAGCAGTAAACGGTTACCCCCGCCGGCCCCCTTTTGGCAGTGACAGAGTAGCATAACACTGGTGTTTAGAGAACCAATTGGCTATGGCAGTGGTGACGAGAAGTGAGGAATCTACAAGAGGGGTGGGGTGGTGGTGAGGAGAAATAGAGCGGATACACGGTCAGGCGCAAATGCTATCGGGGAGGACGACAGGTAGAAAGGGGGCGAGGCACAGTGCGTTTACCTGTATGGAGTGAAAGAGAGTTTCCCGTACACTGCGCGACGCTAACTTTCTTCCCCCCAAACCAGCTCTGCGTTTGGTGTCCACATTTCCATAGGGACCTAGTTCAGTTGGAACAGTCACATCAGAAATCTTTGTTTTTGGGGGTGAAAACAAGAAAACAAAAAAAAAAAGAAGCATGCACAATGGAAGCAGAAGTGAGCGAAGCCTTGTGGGAGAGATCTTGAATTTACAATTGCAGCCCCATCACGTACAACTAAAGGAAATGCAAAAAGGTTTTACAGTGTGGATGCCTCCTGACACTCACACATAAACATGTTTTACAATATACTTGCATCATAAAAGCATGTCAAGGATAGTCATCATTGAAGCACACTCCAGTTAAAGAAGCTGCATGGGGACTATGGGTGGTTAAAAAGTACCAAAAGCTGGGTTGAAGATTTTGCTGCTCCTGGGGAAGGGGTTTGGTATGGTGTGTGCAGCTGTGGGGTATAGAGTGGGGTTGCCCCTAGACTTACCCCATCCATAGAGACAGGGGTGAGATTGGGATCAGTCTCTAGTCCTTTAGCTTCTTTTCAGGGCTCCGATTCATACGAGTCTGGCCGTTTCACAAAGGAAAAACAATCATGAAACATCAAAAGGCAAGAACAGCTAAAGCTCCAAGCAAAAGCTCTTGAGTTCCCTCTTTAAATGATCAGGCAGGCTCTTTATTTGAAGGCTTGTTATAGTCGTAAAGATCATGTACAGATCTTTAAAGTCTTCTCTTCTGAGAACACTTGCGGCAAGAATAGTTACCGTGATAGAAACTACAAACATGAATGTCGATGCAAAATGTTTTCTAAGGTCACATTCACATTCACACACTGGCATCCTCAGCACATAGGTGCGAACAGGGGCATGGTAAATGAATTAAATACTGTCACTAAATGAGAGGCAGATGCAAAGAGAGTTGGAGAGAGATGCAGTGAGGGTCATCTATGGAGTTGCAGCAGCGAAATGAGCAGGAAGACTGAAAGAAACTGATATGAATCTCCCAATTCATTTAATCCAAAATCACAGCACCACAGAATATACAGCACTTTCGTGTAGCCTTAATCCAGTTTCACTCTATAAGACTACAGATTAAAAAAACAAAAATAGCAAAACTTTAATACATTTCACTACTAAGGCATAAGAATCGTAGGCCACTCATGATTTTGGCTGTTTTTCTAGAAAAAAAGAATTGGCTATAAACAATCACTGCGAAAAAGCCACAAGAACATGTTCTCTCTCTTGCAGCTGTAAACAAAAGTTAAAAATTAAAAGTAGTACGTCTCTTTAAATGGATAATTGAGTCCCTTATCACTGTTTATAAAAACACGACAGCGTTAATAAAAGACACTTTACAAAAACAGATTCTACAATGCATCCTGGCAGTTAAGTTGGCGAGCTCAGAGACGCTCCCGTAAGACAGATCCCAGCAAAAGCTGACTAGCTACACCTTCCTCTGATTGGTTGCTTCCCATACATCACCATATCTATGGAAGTAGCTACATTAAAGTTGGAGGGGAGAGAAGTCACAGTGTCTTTCAGCTTTCAGGATGGGTGGACAGGGATGGAAGGGTGGGGTTAAAGGTCATCACTAAAGTTTCTCCCTTCTGAGGTGTAAGGGAAGCGTATGTATGTGCGTGTGGATCGAGGTCGCTTCCCTGTGCACGTGTACACGTGTGCGTTCCTGTCGTGACAACCAATGGAAAGCATACACGCTACACCACAGTCCCAGAGAAAAACAAGAAACACACACACAAAGACACGTAAAATACTGTCCAACCCTGGTCCTACACTTCACACACCTTTGGAGTAAACATACATTCAACTTATTTCAACATTTTTGTAATGCATCGAAATCTAAATGTCTTAACTATATGAATGCGTAAACTGGTTAAGTTCATATAACTAATCAAGCAGTATTTAAAAATATCAAGTCCAGTATTCATTCATAAACTACAAACACTTAGGAATATAAAAATTAAAAAGCATCGTGGCTAGTGCCTAATCTACTCTTAAAAACTAATTGGCAAAAGATTGAAGGTTTCTTTAAACAGACAATGTGTTACATTGGTTACGTGTGCAGGAATGAGAGCATGCAGTTTTCCCTTTTCAGGCCTGACTACACTGGGTGTGTGTGTGAGATCAGAACCAAGGTTAGAGAATCTAGTCTGTAGTTAAAACCGACACAGCCACCGTCTTAAACCCAAGCACGCACACGTCATAAACATACACCTGTGGCTTCTTTCTGACACACACACACACACACGCAGCACAAGGAAAGGAGAGGCAGAGAGGACGTGGAGCACACTAGCGGAAGGGTGTTTCAGGGGTGTGTAGGGCGAGTTCGGGGCGGCGGAGGAGGGGCTCCTTGTGCGACGGCGGAATCGGCGGTGGCTCATACACGCGGGGTGTTGCCATGGCGATGGCGGCAGGCACGGGGGCGGCGGGCAGCACTGGCCTGAGGGAGTCGAGCGTCGCCACCGGCTGAGTAGGCACACCAGACAGAGTCTGCAGTGCGGTCATCGCTGCGAGGTGGTTGGGGGACGGATACGCGTACTGGTACTGTGGATACTGCTGCAGCTGCAGGTACTGCTGGTAGTATTCCGCGTAGTACCTGGGAGAAATGGAGGAGAGGAAACACACATGCACATCCACGCAGACAGGGAAAGAGAGACAGAAATCACACAGACATGCATATACAGACGTATATATATATATATATATATATATATATATATACACACACACACACCATTGGACAGGGAGAGAAACACAAACACAGAAACACATTTACACGCAAACACACATACACACATCCCCGCCACTGTAAATCGGTAATAAAACTGCCAACTTTTGAAAATTGACAAACTTCTGCTGTAATCATGTACTGTGTCCAGGGCCGGATTTTGCTCACTCGTCCAGGGGGGACCAAACACAATGAAGAGATATATAACATTTTTTATATGCTATGGCCTATCTACAACAGTAATTTTTTATGTACGGAAATCACACAATCTTTCTCCCGTTCTCTCGTACACAGACGCACACACGCGGAGATGCGAACAGAAACTTGTTCTCAGCGCTGCCCTGCGAATTTATCAATAAAATAGTTTTGCAGCTGAAAAGCTACATGACATTTCTTAGTAGCGAGGTTCTTGAAGCAGTTCAACTTAAAGATTTGTTATTAGTAGACGCTGCTTAATCTCTCTCTCTAATAACTGCATTAGCCTGGATATCAGTGGCTCAAGCCTCTGTTATTAGCTCTAAAATGACGTTTTGGAATTTGCTATGGAAGGTTTGGGATGAGGTGCGTAAGAAATTAGTTCAACACACACGAGATTTCAGGACGGAAACATGACAAATGTCTTGAAATAAATCATCTGAACTATGTCTTGAGGTGTGGATGTTACTCCAGGCCATTAAAATTATTTGAGAAATAATGCACTAATGCAATTATATGCAATAATGCGTGATGTGGCCACGATGCCGGAGCCTATTAATAGAACGGTCTTTCTCCGTTCTCAAATTAAGAACTACATTCGATCTTTATTGACTGAACACAAGTGCTTATTGCAATAGAAAACACTGTAACGGTTTCCACTGATTGTGAAATATTTTTGTTTTGCTGGGGTGGTAATATTATATATTACTAGGGAAGGGGGGGAGGGCAAAAATTTGTTTTGCCTATGTCACGATAAGAGGTAAATCCGGCCCTGATTGTGTCTCTTTTACTGCAATCAACTCACCTGGCTACAGCGTCATCCTCCTGTGCAGCGGCTTCCTCTCGACCCGCAGGTGTAGGCAACAAGGCTCTGCGCTTGGCCCTCTGGTACATAAATGGTTTCATAACAGGGTCTGGCAGCAGCGGGGCAGATCTTCTTAGCGGACTCCGGTCCCTCTCTCCAGACTTTGAGCAAGCCTGTTGCTGTTCAGCTAGAACTTGCTGTCCTTGTGCAAAGTAGTGCGCCCTTGCTGCCTCAAAGATAGCTGCTGGGTCAGCTGCCCCAAAACCCCCGTAGGCCGGGGAAGCGGTGTAGAGAGCTGGTGCTACTGTATAAGCTTGGTTAACCGCAGCAGCGGTCGGTACCTCCATGCCGTGCGCTGCAGCTAGGAACACTGGATTCGCTACAGCGGACGTGTAAACTTGTGGACTGTATGCAGCAGCGGCAGCTGCGACTGCTCCATTTGTCACCTGCCCATAGAGAGCTGGGTTAATGGAGCCGTACACCTGTGTGGCAGCTGCAGCAGCACCAGAGTTGAGTGCCTGATTTGCAACTGTCCCACCGTAGAGCTGATTGGAAACCGTCCCGTACAATTGACTAGCTAGTGCACCGTACACAGCTGGCGCCACGGCGGTCCCTCCTTCCGCCCTCGCACCAGCAGCTGTAAGTCCAGTCAAAGCAGCATATGTGGGGTCAAAAGTTGAGGTGTTGTACACAGAATTGTGGACACTCTGTTGAACCTGCAGTGGAAGGCCAGCCGCTGCAGCGGCGGCGGCGGCTAACACGGCCGCTTGGCTCTGGTACTGCTCTAGGGTGGGTTTACCAGCTGGGCATTCACCTGCATAATGGCCCTGTTTTCCGCAACAGACACACGGGATTTTCCCAGTCGGAGCCTGCTTACTTGGCTGAACTTTGGACAGCTCCACGGAGAGCGGTCGTCCTTTGAAGGAGGTCCCATGCAAAGCCTCAATTGCCTGCAGCGCATCCTCCTTGTTCTCCATGTGGACAAAGGCATAACCTTCACAAGAACACAACTTTATTATTATGGGGTCCCGCAAGTAAATGTTAGAACAGTGCAGAACCGTGTGGTACCCTGCATGAGCTCTAACACCCAGTTTAAATTAAGAGTAGCCAACCTCACCCTGGAGAGCTAACTTGGTTTTATTGTGCGCTCATGATTTTTCTAGAGTATCTTTTGCTGCTGAATTATCCTCTAACCTAGTTTATAATAGTATTTTTGGCATAGATTGTGATTTTATATATTTTCCATTTGTTATTTTTCATTCAAATGAAGTTGTCTATATTTAGCAGATTGTGTTTAACACACAAAAGAGTGATGATCAGATTAACACAGAAGTATAGAAATTCTACATTGATAAAAAAAAAACATATCGGACTCATCGCACTCATATCGGATCTGTAGATATTCCGAATTTTTGGTATCGGATCGAGTTGTTTCTGAAAAAATGGTATCACTGCATTTCTAGTTTGATTAGTGTTAAAGCTAAACTGCAGGATGGTAGCCCTCCAGGAGCAGGGCTGGCTACTTTTGCGTTAAGTTTCGGCAGCGACTTAATAATCTCTTACCTTTCACCTTATCACACTCCAAAACTTTGCCAAAGGTCTGAAACAGCTCCCGAAGATCTTCTGTGGTGCACATACTACTCAGATTACCCACAAACACCTTTGTCGAGTGGAGCGGGCGTCCTCGGGACTCCTCAACCACAAGGTTGCGTCCTTTGAACTCTCGGCCATTGAGCTCCTGGATGGCACGCTCAGCAGCGCCCTCTCCTTGCAAGTGTACAAAAGCAAACTGTCTCAAGACGCTGCAGCTAACCACCTGGCCATACGACTCAAAGATGGCTGACAGTTCTTCTTGCGTGGTTTCCAGGGCCAGATTCCCTACGAAGAGCTTAACCGTGTGGCCCTTATCCATAGTGCTGAAATGAGTGAAAGATGTTATTTTAATAACTGACATATCAGACAAGGACATATAAATGTGTACGTACAATTTGAAAAGTGAAGCGTACACAATTACAGGGGCGTATGGCATATTTGCGTATGGCAGAATCTAGCAGTTAATCAGCCAGAGACTCACCACGCCTTCAAAACAATCCAACCGAGGTGCATAGACCAAAAAAGTTTCCCAAAAACTAAAATATTGGAAAAAAAGTCCGCACACTCTCAAAAATCAAAAAGTCACAAGCGAGATGAAAGCAGTGCAAGCAATTTACTGAAAAAAAAAACAAGGCAAATGTTTCGGTCACATGTTGACCATTTTCAATGCCAAGCTAACAATTTTTTCAAAATTAGATTCAAATCAAAAACTTTTTTGGGGTTGTTGTTGTTTTTTGAGAGCGTGCAGACTTTTTCCAAGTATTTTACTTTTTGAGAATATAGCAGTTGTCATACACTAGCATTAAGAGTTCAGACAAAATATTGTGATGATGCTCGTTAAAAATAATCCACATATTTTTAGGAGAACAGACCTGAACATTGCTATGTCGAGGTTCCTAATAACGACAATTTATGGCTCATCTGTCACGATAAGCATTGCTGTTATGATAACGGTGACTTCTCAGATTGGATCCTGCTTCAAGATTGTGGTTAGCGCAGTTTTTACCTGTGTTTTGGTCATTAAAATGATTCTTTTATTATTTTAACAACGTAGAAATCATAATGGCAGTTTTTTTAAAAACCATATAATGTATGCATTATTGCAAAAGTAATTCTTAATCATTTTCTCTGTGTGGAGTGTGCACTGTCGCAGTTTGTTGCATCTATTATCGCACGTCTTTTAATACTGTAAAGCTGCTTTGACACAATCTGTATTGTAAAAAGCGCTATATAAATAATAGTGACTTCACTACACTTGACTTATGCAATAAGGTAAGACATACTGTGTGTTTTTATAATGCTGTTCACTCTGAATTTAATTAATAGTGCATCATGTTTAGGTAATGTGGGTTTATAATTCAGAAATGTTGTTGTTGTCCATGTTTGTCCCCCTACAGGGAATTAAACCCTAGGTTTTTGTGAAATGTATACAATTCTCTTACAAAAATGTGGCTGTACCATGGTACAATTATAGCATCAGATATTAAATATTATCCGATCACAGTACTATAGTACTCTGAAGCATAGTGAATAAATAGTGATATTTATCGTACTCAGGTGATTCATGCAGTACCAAGGTACCATGGTTTACACACAGTGCCCGCCCAAAATAACAACAGTACCATTGTTTTGTACTTTTTCGTTAGTTTTATGTCCCATTAATTGGGAAGAGAAATACATTTACACATGCAGGGCGAGGTAATAACAGTTTGGACCCAAATTGGACCCTAGTAAAAACAACACATTGTCTTAATTATAAGTTGTTTTATGTGTGACAAACATTTTTTATAGTTTTTCATAACTATATACATATCACGCCTCATTAAACTTAGTCCTATCACATTAACAACGTAAAAACAAATTATGCAGCACACGAAAAACATCAAGCAAACATGTATTCTGCATAGATCAAATGAATTAGCTGCAGGCACAAAGCCATAGCAATCTAGTGACGCAGTGCACGCAGAGTAAACACGTTCACTTCCTCAATGTAGAGCTCACGGAACGAACACACACACACACACACACACACACACACAAACGTCTCTTTAGATGATAACGGTTTAATTGCAACCCTGAAAACCGCGTAAACCCCATTTAAACGACCGCTCGGACGAAATGTGTGAGAAACGCCGACTCGCAGTTCTCTTTATAGCGCTTAGGCTTCAACAGGAGTAGCGCGTGCCGAGTGATTTACTGAATGTAACATTTCTGACACCAAATGTTTACAAAACACTCCAGAACGCTTCCGTCATCGACACCACCAACGTCCGCTATGTAGTTTTGTATATTCATTACATACATGTGCGTATTTGTTATTCATTCTTTCCAGCTGAAATCTCTAGATGACTCATTTTGTAGGGATTTTTTTTTTTTCGGGTGTCCCCGAGCTCGCGCCCCAAACCCTTTGCGTTTCTCTATAAATCACACCGCGAGCTCGTCTATATCATGCCGCTTTGCATCGGCCGTCGTTAACTACTGATCCTATATGATAAATTAAGGAATTACTTAAAACATAAACATGTATAGAGAGGAAAAGAATCTCCCATCTTACCTAAGCGGTGCGGGGTTTCAAAATGGTCGGTTCACTTCCGTTCTTTAGAATCGCTCTCATTCTTCAGCAGTGGGGACTGAACGCATGCTGATGCATTCACTAACACACACACACACACACACAGAGAGAGAGACCGGGTACTGTGTGCATCTGCATTGCTTGCACACCATGCATCATTTAGTTTTTTACTTGTTAAACAGGAATCTAGCAAAACTTAACTGAAAGCAAAGAGAGACCTTGCAAAAAATGCGTTAAATGCGCCACAGATCTTCAGTTGTTTTCAGTTCTTTTTTGTTAAATTAATTTGATATGCATGCATTGCAAGCAACTTTGTTTTTTTTTTTTGTTTTTTTAGAAAGTCAGATATAAATATGTGACCCTGGAGCACAAAACCAGTCATAATGGTCAATTTCTCGAAATTGAGATTTATACATCATCTGAAAGCTGAATAAATAAGTTTTCCATTGATGTATGGTTTGTTAGGATAGAACAATATTTGGCCGAGATACAACTATTTGAAAATCTGGAATCTGAGGGTGCAAAACAAAATCAATATATTGAGAAAATCGCTTTTAAAGTTGTCCAAATTAAGTTCTTAGCAATGCATATTACTAATCAAAAATGAAGTTTT